CTAGATTATGAAAGTGGCATAGTGAGCTATGTCAATGTTGCTTAAAGTTCCAGCAAAACAGGTATATGTAGAATAGACAAGAAATAGTGCAAGGGTGTAGAGCTGGACTGAGAGGACAAAATTAGTTCATGGAGGGCAATCTTAAAAATGTCAATCCAGGGTCCATAAACAGAATATCTTAAAAGGTACTAAGTTAGCATTCAAGAGATTAGTTACAGAGGCTAGGGGAGAAGCTGGTAATAAAGCAAGGAGTCAAAATCCACGTCTGACAGTAATAGTGCCTGACATTGTCCAAAATCAGATTGAAATAAGGTATCTTGACTCTTCATCAGTGGGCAAGTGTTTTGATGCTATGCAATATTCTTATGTTGTCTTGAAAGATGATTCTCTTATATTAAGAGAGTACAATCACTTAAAAATCAGTCTTTTAAATACAAGCAATGAATAAACTTAATTCTTTCAACAAAAATATCTTGAGTTTTTATGATTAGCTCAGTATTCTAATATATGCTGAAGAAATACAGATAAAGCTGTTTTACTTTCAAAATAATAACTTCAGATTAAAAAAGCATCATTGAGACCATGGTACAAATATTTTGAGAACAAGTTGAAATTATCTAAGTGCTCCAATAATTTTAAAGTATAGAATCTAAAAATTAAGCCAAAATAGTTCAAACAAAAATAGAGGACATTACAATACTGAAAGGCCTAACATACTTGTGTGAGATTTCAATATACTTCTTCAGCTATTTATAGGTCAAGCAGATAACAATTAAAAATACATTGAAACATTAATAACAAAATCAATAAACTTTAGCTAATGTACAAGTATACAATTCTACATCTAACAGTTGAAAATATTGTTTTCTAAACAGTACATGGAGTAACATGCGCAAAAACTAATTATGTGATTGACCTTATAGTAAATCTAAATAATCTTAGAGAATTATCACAGATAACCCAGTCTCTTTACAACAAAAACAAATTAGAAGTTAATAGCAAAAAAGGTATATTAAAACTTCCATTTATTTAGAAATTGTATTACATACTTAATTTATGGTTAAAAAAGAATTAATGGAAATAAAGGAAACACAATTGCATGACATTGGAAACACCACATATAAAACTGGGAGGATACAGTGAAAGTAGTGCTTAAAGAGCAATTTATAACCATAGTAGCTTATTCTATATATACCTTAAATTAATGTCTTTTTTACAAATATTAATTTCTACAAATCAGTATCATTCTACATAACTTCTGATGGTCTTGATATTTTATAAAATATCCAAATTTCAGATATCATTGTGATATCTTCTTACATAGAAATTAAAGATATAGATTCATCATTTGTAAAACACATCATTTAAGGTGCTATAGCGAAAGAAAACAATTCTCCTAATTCAAATATGATACATGATTGATTAAAAATTCATCCTGATTTCAAAAATGTTAAAAATTTTGGAAACAAAAGTGTCTTACAATTCATAAAATATAACATACGTATGACCATTTTTAGGGACCATCATTTTGGGGTTTTTTTTTAATTGTTTTAAATTCAGAAGAAATGAAATACTGTTTGTCAGTAACCAAAACATCTCACCAGATATCAAATACCCACAATGAATAATATTAACAAAGTTAGTCTGTAGCAGACTAATTGTCATTTACATTATTTTTGTGAAAAGCATAATGATATAACTGAAACATTTAAATGTGAAATTTATAATAAGCAGGTAGAAAAATCGTTTACATATAACTAGAAAAAAGACATGGTTGCAAAGAAACACTAGGAAGTCTCTAGCACTACAAGTTTATTCAAACGCTCTCCTACATTCATTGCTTATTGTTTTACATTTTGCATGAGAATTTTTAATCCATAGAAATGTTTTATTTTACATGGTGAACTGGACATTGGAGAACGTTTATCAACCACCAATTTTGTGTTTGGAGTATTCTTGCACCATGCTGGCCTTATCACTGATCTGCGTGCCTGGGCTCAAGTCTTCTTGCACCAACTCTGAATGTCCTCCCGAGGTGTGGAAATCCGTTATGCTGAAGGGATCCCCCTTCTGGCTCTCGGACTTGGAGTACTGATCCAAAATACTCTCTAAAACCTCATCAGGAATTCCAGACTTGTCGTGACAAGACTTAATTTCCGCATGCAGGGCCGAGGAGTCAGTAAGGGGCAAGGGGGCCTCGCTGTCTAGAACTCCAACGCCCGCAGACTGAATGACAGACTGCTGGGAGACCGTGTGTCCCACGCTCACGGAAAAGGCACTGTTGCTGCTGGCAGTTGGTAAGGATCTTCTTTTCTTCGAGAACTGCATGGCATCGTCCTAATTACTGCTTATTTGACCGTGTTTGCCACTTGCGCTCTGGAGAAGACTAACGGTCTCCACGCTGTTGTCTGACTCTAGGCCAAGCGAGCCACCTGGTTTCCCAGACAAGGACTTCTGTCCCACCATGTCTGGTAGTGGTGACACGAAGTTCTGGTAGTTCTCCGTTCTCTTTCTACTTCCTTTCTTAAAGATCAATTTGGGCACCCTTTTCTGTAGTTCATCTATACGAGTGCCGATCATGCCTCCACTGGAAGACGCGGCTGGCATCTCTACCAAGTAACTTTGCAGGGCCATACTGCTCGAAGCCTGCCAGTCGCTCGTTTTACCAGTCTTGTGTTCCTTGTTTTCAACTGCGATGCTTTTTCACTTCGCCTTTCTCCTCGAAGAGCTGGGATTTCCCTGCGACAACACAGCCAGATTCCCCACGCTGTTGTGGCCGGATGCCCCGGGTTCTGCGCCGGGGGCCCTTCCTCTATGGCTTCTCTAGGGTGCACGTGTCTTCAAGACGCGCTCGGTCCTTGAGAGAGACCGCTGGCAAGTGTCACACGTGTATGGCTTTTCTCCACAGTGCGTCCTCTTGTGTCTCTCCATGTGGTACTTCTGGATGAACTTCATGCTGCACTTGGCGCACCCGAACGTCTTCTCTGGACTGGATCTTCTCGTGTCTCTGCAGCAGGTACTTGTGGATGAAGCCCGTGCTGCACTGGCTGCGCTGGAAGGGCCGCTCCCCGGTGTGGATGAGGACATACCTCCGCAGGTGGTAGCAGCTCCGGAAAGCGGCGCTACAGTGACGGCAGATGTGCGGTTTCTGACAGGGGGCGAGCAGGGCGCCTTCCCCGTCTCCCACCAGCCGCGGTTTGGAAGATGCGCTCAGCTTCCTCTTGGCTTTGATTCCCTGAGATTCTGGCTTTGGCCTCTTCACATTCTGGACGCTCGCGTCTGGCTTTGGCTCCTCGGGGCCACGGGGGTCCTCGGTCCGGCCGCCGCCCAGCAGCACGTTGCGGGAGTGCGGGTCCGGCGGGTGCAGGACGCTCAGGTCCTGGATGACGCCGTGGCTCCCTGGTCCCCGCCGCCCGCTCGTCCGCCCCGGCGAACAGGCCCCCAGAGCCCTGGTGCAGGGGGGCGCCCGGCGGCTCCTCGGGCTCGGCCGGCTTCTCCTGCTTGATGCTGACCGGCGACTGCAGGAAGCCCCCGGGGGTACTCTGCGCCGGGAAGGCCGCGCGGGGCGCCGCCGGCTCCTTCTTGAAAGTCACGTCTGAGGTGGGCGCCAGGGTGGGGGGAGTCTCGGCGGCCGCGCCCGTGGGCGGGGCGAAGCTGGCCGCCGGGGGCAGCCGGTGGTTGAACTTGAGCATCCCCGACGGGAAGCTGGGCTCCATCTCCAGCGCCCAGGAACGCGCTGCCGACTTTCATGTCCCCGGAGCAGGCCTGGGGGTCCCGCCGCCACCGCCTCCGGTTCGTAAAAATCTATAGTTTAAAACTTACACGATTTTTGGTTCTACATACGTTTCTAAATTGTACTTGCATAATTTTAAATGTGGGGAAATCTTTACAATAGTGAATATCATGATTTTATTTTCATTTATATTTTCCAGGTTTTTGTATGTTTCAGTGTTATAAAGAAACAAAATTTTTAAAAACCTTTGCTCTTTTTGCTCCGATTTTTAGTTTTTAGTTCACTATTTTAGATTTTTAAAATTAACTTCTGACTTCTATTTTTTATTTCATATTTTTCGTAAATTGAATCATTAACCCACTCATTTTCAGATTTTTATTTTAAAATAGTAAAACATAAAGCATACTGTTTGTAAATAGTGAATTATTTACACATTTGTTTTCCTAATATAGTTTAGTTGTGACCCATGCATAGCTATTTTTACTATTCTTTTTTATTATTATCTAGATATTTAAATTCAATCGTTAATTTCCTCTTTGATCCGTAGTTAGATAGGAAATAGTTCTTTATTTATGGACGATTAAGTGTTTTTAATATAGTTTCTAACTCTGAACTTTTAGGATTGTAATCAGGAATTATTGTCTAGAAAAGCTTCATTGTATTTTGTGTTCAAGGGGAATTCACGTTTTGTAATGTCCTATGACCATGAGGAGACACAATGAGTAATGTTCAGCAGGAGAAAAGTCACAGCCCCAACAATGATCTGCCCTCCCCTCTCTGCCTCACGGATCACACCCTGCACAGCTCCCGGTCAGCAGGCTGCATCCCTCTTGGCTTCCTTGCCCCTCCTCTAACACAGGAGGCATGATTCTACCTCAGGTCCTTTGTACTTGCTCTTCCCTCTGTGAAAGAAGGAAGAGCTACTTTTCCAAATAGTCGTATGATCTACAGACTCAACTTTTTTTTTTTTAACGGACTCAACTTCTAGTTTTTAATTTAAGTACTCTCTAATTCAAGTAGCTCATCTGCTTCTTTCCTCCACTCTCAATTCCTCTGTTGGTCAAAGAACAAAATAAAATCTTGTGAAAAACAGTTTTGTTCAATGTTTTATTGATCTTTTGCTGTCAACCACTTTTATGCGTCTATATTTTCTAGAGGTTTTCCGGATGGAATATAATTAATATAGAGTTCAATATGAAAAAAATAGAAAAAAGAAATGAAATTTTAAAATAAAAAATTTATTTTTTAAAAGTTTTTGTTTTTTTTGAGTGACGAGAAAGTATGCTTAATGTGGAATGCCTCTTTATTTGTTTAATCTCATAGTCACATTTTTAGCACCCATTCATAGTTCTTCTTATTCCTATTAATGCACCTGGTCCAACACGAGAGAAGGATGTGTATCTACAAAGTGGTATCAATTCTAGGAAAAAAATAAACATAGAGACAGAATTACATCTGCCTTTTGAGTACCACATAAAAGAGAAAGAAAAGTTGTGCACAAAGGAAGTAGAGTGAATCTGCCAGAATATTTGGCAGAATCAACTGAATGCACCATTTAAAACAACTGATTTTTGATATCCTTAAATTACATTATTGCTACCTGTATCCTTGCAGAAAATAAAAGGAAAGGTAGAGAGCAGTCTAAAGATGTGATTCTTATCCCTGCTTCCCCAAATTTGTTTGAATTATAGGGGAAAAAAATCTCATTCATGTTAAAGATGAGAGCAAAATAAATTTTAAATCTTTTGAATTCAGTAGGGACTTGACTAGAGATCTTATTTGGAGATTTAAACAATTCTCTTATTATGACACTTTCTCTATTAAACATGCAATTTTCTTTCAAAAACAAAAAAGAATGGCGTTGATAACAAAATAAACTATTTGATGGGTTATTATCTTTTACTGCAAAACTTAAAATAAATCTTGGCAAATTTATCAATTACTAAACTGTAAATATTCATACACGAGCAGAGTTAAATTTTGTATTCTTGCATAGTGTTGTGCAGAAGTTTAGTTAAATTTATAATCTAGTAAGTAGTTCTTTTAAGTTCTAAGAAGATATCTTTTATTTATACACATAGATATCATACAAATTTAAAAAGAACATTTGGAGAGGGTAGCATCCTGGCAATTAATTGAAAGAAATGTGTCTAGAAGGAGGGTATAATAATTCTTGAAGAGCTTCTGCTCATCTTGTTTGAGTTCTGAGAGCTCACCATTTAGGAAGCGTAGTCACTAGTGGTGATCTTGACAAGGGTCATTTTGTGGACGTGGTGGTGTGTTCAAGGTAGAATCAGAGGTAAAGAGGTGGCGGCTATAAACGTAGCCAAGTATTTGATGGTTATGATCTAAAAAGGAGCTGAGGAACATTCCAATAGCTGGGGTTTCTTAAAAGGTGAAAAAAGGTGTTTTATTAAAGAAGGAATATTTTGTACTTTTTTTGTTTATATGAGTACGATCAAGTAGAGAAGGCCAACAAAAGAGAGAAGAAATAATTATAGAACAATATCTCATGCACAGGGAAGGAGAAGAGATTACAAACCCAACTGAAGGCTTGATTCTGAAAGGAGAAGGAACAGTTTATTTATTCTAATATGAGGGAAGACAGAGACTATGAAAAGAGATACAAGCAGTTGTTATTTCTGGTAGTGCGATGATGACAGCCTTCTCTGCTTTTGTTTTTTATTGCAATAAGAAGCAAGATCATAGCTGAAATAAAAATGAGAGAGAGGACACTGGAATTTGAGAAAAGATGAAAACATGTGATGTTATCTGATAATACTTGATGATGAGTTGTCTCGAGAAATGGAATAGGGCCGCTTGAAGTTTCTGAGGACCACAAGAAAGATGCGGTTAAAATCTAAAATGAGATGAGTCACCATGTTTGGGTGTTTGTTTTTTCCCAGTCGTATTGACCTGCTCACCCTTCATGTGTAGACATGAAGTTGGCATCCAGTTCAAGTTTAACCAGCACGAGGTATTGACCTTGCGTCTGTAACGGAAGAACAAAGAAGCCAGAGAGATGAAAGTATGCATGAAAGTGACCCTAGCCGTGGGACATGAAAAACAATTGAGAGAGAAGAGAGGACATGAAGGGCGGGGAGGGGAAGAGGAAATGTGACTAAGGTCAGCGCACCGAAGGTCCTGAGCAGATCAAAGAGTTGTTGTTACACAGTTACAAACAAACGGCGAACTGGAAAAAATAAGTAGTTTTGTACAAGCAGGGCTACTAAAAACCACCAATGTACAGGTAGTGCCCTTATTAATAATGGTAAGTATTAGAGTGATACCAAAATCTTGAAATGCTCCATATATCACAATACGAGGATGTTTCCATTTTCACTTAATTATAAAATTATTTAATTGAGAATTTTGGAGATACACCAAATTATGTAGGTAAAAGTAATGACTAATTACATATCTGTCACTAGCAAAACAGGTATGTAATTTCTAGTATTCCATCCAAAATATTAAGGGAAAAATTGATATAAAGAGATTATTCAAAGAAAACAGAAAATTATATAAATCCATCATCATTTGCTTTAAGACAGAAGTTTTAAAAACTTAAATTACAGTGTGTTTATGAATTATGAATAAACAATGTCCTGCTTTTTGAAAACTAAAACTAATTTTCTTGTCAAAGTCAATAATCAATATATCAAATGTCAAGAATCATACAAAGAAGGATGCTTCCTTTTTTTAGAGTCACAGCAATCAGATAAACATTCTAAAATGACAGTGTTTCAAGTAAAATAAACTTGATACAGTGCTCTACTACAGACTCTTTTAAACTTTACTACACTTGTTTTGAATTTTTATTTTAATTTATATTACACGTTTAACACAGCCTGAGTATGAGAAAGTTTAAAATAACTTTTTAAAACCTAAAAGTAGAAAGAATAAAATTACCATTAATAGGTTTTCTAATCATGTAGGTTGAATAATTTAGGATATAATAATGGCCAAACCTGTACATGCCGCATAAAACGAAGAGTCTTTCTTCACCTTTAGGGAATCCTTCTTTTATTTATTTCTAATTGCTTTTTTCATAATCTTTTCCTAGAAATTCTGTCAGAGGGAATTCAGAACCTCTGGGAGATTTCTTCATTTATTTTAACTTTTCTTTTACAATTTCCATATCTCCGTCAACTTGGCATTTCCTAATGGAAATTGCCGCGCCCTGATGTAGTCACTCTAATTATTATAATCAAATGCTCCAGTTATTGTGGCTGTATAACAGATTGCCTCACAAGTCAGCATCATACAGCAATGATTTATTATGCACATGCATTTTGTGGGTCAGGATTTTGAACAGGTCATGACAGGGATAGTTTGTCTCTGCTCCATAGTACATGGGCCCTCAAACTAGAAGATTCAAAGGCTGAGGGAAGGAATTATCTGAAGCTTTCCCTGTTCACATGTTTGGAGGATGAAGCTCTCTGGAGGCGAACGCTAGTTGGGGCTGTTGAACATGATCTCCTAAACTTGGCAATGCCGTATTGCCTGGGCTTCTTCACTACAGGATGGTTGGACCACAGGGTAAATATCCCAAGAGAGAGCGTCAGGTGAAACCGTATCATCTTTTATCATCTATGCTCAGAAGTCACACAATATCCCCTCCAACATTCTAAGTATAGATGGAGTAACGAAACCCCACTGAGTTCAAGGAAAGGTGGGGAGGAATCTACCCCTTGATGAGACCAGTAACATTCTGGAGAGAATCCAGAAATATTGCTAAGGACAATTTTGCAAAATGCAATTTGCCACAAATAATCTATTTTTATGAACTTATTGTCAAAGAGGACAATTAAGGTAGGTAGAGAGGATAAGAGGTAATTAGAGAGACAATAAGAACAATTTTATGCCAGTCAGAAAGACCCAGAGTTAGAAAAATTCATGGCATGCAAGAATGAAGTTCTCAGTAGGCTCTGATCCAGAACCAACCGTGGAGGCGGCCTTTGAGAGGGCGAGCCCTTCCATTCCTCACAGTAATGGTTAGAAACACAGAGGCTTCCGTTTTAGTTGTAGATAGGCATTATTTATTTAACAAAAACTAATACTGGTTTATTATATGTAAGACTGTTTGAAGCAGTATACGTCTGTTAAATGAATCCTCATTACAACCCTGCAAAGTGTTATCCCTGTACTGTTCATGGATAAGGAAACTGAGACACACAACAGAAAAGCATTTTGCTTAAGGTTGCACAGCTGATGGCTGGGCGGCGGGATTCAAAGCCCATCAGGTGGGCTCCAGAGAGCATGCTGCTAAGCCCTCAGCTAAACTGCTTCTCTCGGCAGGTTTAACTGAAGAAAGGTAAGTGAGTTCCCAACAGACCGTTTCTATTTTCTCAATTGAAAAAAGAAAAAAAATAAGTTGTCAACCAAGAGCATCTCGAACACACTGCCTTAAAGAGCAGATGCTACCTAACGTTTATGGAAGGAAACCTTATAGCAGAAACATGTTAGCGTGCACCCAACCCCACACCTCTGGTCATCCCACAGCCCAGGTGGCATAGAGGGGCTCCACACCCAGACAGGCCAAGGGCCCAGCAGCGAGGATCGTGGGTGGGCTGCAGGTGGGCCCGGCCACAGGGCGCTCTGCCCTGCACTGCGTTACACACTTACAGGTCAGCCTAAGCTGGGCCACAGAACTTCTATTTTCTCTAAGTAACAAACAAACAAAAAATATCTCGGAGTAGCCTAAAGAACACCAGACAGTGTGCACACTCGGGCCCGAGTTCTGCGCAGTGAGGACCGCGGTGAGAGCCCGGTCCTCGTGGTTGGGGGGGAGCTGACGTCAGCCAAGGCCCTCTGCTGCCCAGAACAGAGCTCTGCATTGAACTCCCAAGAGGGGAAGGAACTAATCTTCCACATGATCCGGATCTGTCTATCAACAAAGATGATATTACCATCAGAAAACAGAAGTGAGATCATATTGAGAAGTGATTCTGGGTATGGCAAATGTGAAAACGGATTCACATTACCACATCTAGTGGTAATTTATTAGTGCTGAATGCCAATACAAGGCTGACGGTCACGAGTTTAAAGAGACCACGTAACATACTTTTGAGATGTTTTTGGGTAATATAGCTTCTTGAAAGCAGATTGCTGAGCTTAACTAAAGTTAGGACTTTGTCAAGTTGATATGATTAGTGAGCAACTATTAATTAATTAATTAATTAATTAAAGTATTAAGTCAGAAGTATTAATGATGTTTGTAAGGGAGTGCACCCACATAGGATCTAATATTTGTAGGCAAAGAAGACAACATATGAAGGGAGTGATGAATAGTGAAAGAAAGAAGTTTAGTATTATTAGTTTACTGTGAATCCATTTTGGCATCTTTTTATTCCCCTAAAACTTCACAAAACTTAATTTTAAATAATTATTCGATTATTTTCCATGAAATCTCTTCAGAATTATATTCAAAGTCTTTAAAGTTATTTGACATTTTTGAACACTATATCCTAGTGAGTTTGCTATAAAGTTAATACATTTATATTGCTAGTGGCCATAATGGTAATAATGTTCCTAAAATCGAACTCCTCAGATTTTTTTGTAGTTTTAAGACCATGATACTTTTTAAGGAAAGTAGCATGGTGAATGTATAGGAGAAGCACGGAAATGTCTGAATACTTGCAGATAGCACTCAGGTATCATTCTAATGTTTTGCCTTATTTACATTTGATCTTATTTCTAGTTGTCTCTTTAACTTCAGTGGGGATGATCATAATGCATATTGCTGACTGACATCTAGGCTCTTTAACTACTGGATACCTCATGGGATAAAGAGATCAGTAGAAGGGAAAATAGGCATACCCTCTCTCTACAATTCCTCAATGGCCTAACGCTGGAAAAGGAAATTTGTCAGAGGCTGAGTATTTCTGGATCCCTTTCGCGCACAAACAGTGGACACAAGGTGATGGGTATTTTTGGATTGGTCCCACATAAACACATTAGAACAGCAGGAGACCCCCAGTGGTCTGGGCATAGGAGGGTTTCCTGCTCTTTCTCCAAGAGGAGAGGGTATTTTTCTTTTCTTTTCTTTTCCTTTCTTTTTTTTTCTTTTCTTTCTTCAAGATGCAATTGGTCTTTACCTGTGCTCTTGGGCAAAAACTTTTGCTGCCTTTCCCTTTACTAATAGTTTAGCATTTTGTTCTTTAGTGGAGGAGGTACCAGATAGAGTAACAGTGGTCCTGCCACTCATTCAGCCTCGCATCACCAAGGAAAGCATTGTCTCACACGCTGCCTTGTCCCGGTCTTTGTGAAGATCTAGCATGTTCTACAGAAATGAGCCTGAGTGTGTGCAAACTCCTGCTCTGCCCTCAACATTTTGGGATTCTGTATCCTCATGCTATTTCACACTCGGCCTTTAGTAATTCATTCAGAACAATGGCTGAATTCTTTCCATCTACTTGTCTGGAGACCTTGTCTTTTTCTTATTGCCACAGACTGGCTAATGCTCACATCTCGTATCTCCTTTGAAACTGTTTTCTTTCTTTCAATTCTAATCTAATTGGTTGTTCTATGACTTTTGCTCCCTGTAATCATGATGTAGCATATTATCTGACTTGTTCTTATTGTTAAAATTAATGTGACACTTTTTTCCCAGCTTTTCTATCCAAGATAGAAGTCGACAGCCTTGCACCATTTGATCTGAATCCATTAAAAGATACAACTGGTGGCCAGAGAGGAGTTTTAATTAACAAAATTCCAACGCTTTTAACTTGTCTTCATCGAATCAAAAATTGCTTGGTAGTAGCCTATAATGAAAAAGAATATAAAAATGAAAATGTGTATGTTCATGTATGAATGAATTACTATGCAGTACACCAGAAATTGATACATCATAAACTGACTATACTTCAATAAGAAGAAAGAAAATTGATATGAATAGACTAAAAAAAAATTCTTTTATCAATGTTTCAAGGAAAATGCCATAATATGCCCTTGGGTAGCTTTTGAGGAAGAGCTTTGCCATGTGGTTATATATTTTGTAAGTAATAGCTCATTTTAAGATATAAAAGTTTTCTTAAATGAGGAGTAGGAATGATTGGAAAAAAATCTACATGACAGGGGCTGGAGTTTTCTCAAAAAGGCTTATGTTCCACTTTTGGATATTTTAAATCATTTAAGCTTCAAAAAAATTTATGACATAAAATCAAGAAACGTGAATTTGAAGTAACTACTCAGGGACATCAAACTAGTCATTGGCCAGGCCAATATTCAAACCAGGAAGTCTGGATCTAGAAGTTATGTTCTTAATCTCTATTCAAGCTACTCCCCAAGATAGGTTATTAAACAAAGTAAGTAAGTATTCTTAACGATTGTTTGCTTAATCAGAACCTATGATATAAGCTCTAAACACATCATCCAAAGAAACCAACCAGAGGTCATTGAATGATAATGCTAATAGGTAAATATTTTAATATTGGGAGCTTAGAATTATACTGTAAATTGAATTTTAAAATCATTTAAATAAAAATTGTTTTATTGGCTATAGAAACATTTTCTCTTCTATTAATCGAGTATTGGGTAATATATGAATTTATATTCCTTAAGTAAAATATAATCTGGTTTTATGTAAGCCTGTAGAAACAGAATGTTTTATAAAATATGACAAAAGGTAAAACTGAATCAAATGGGTACATTTTGACATAGCCTACCAGAACTAGAAATGTCTTCCTGTGCACTGCTGATACAGGAGTTGATAATCTCTACAATGACTCAAAGACAAAAAAAATATGTATTTCCTGAAAATATATACTTGTTAGGCACATATTATTTAGCAGGAAAAATGATAGTGGGTATTTTTTTTTGATACTTATTCTCTCATTTAAATTCTCAGATCTCCTCTAAGAAATCAGTACCAAGTTCTTTGTCGTACAGATGAAGAAACTGATTTCCTTGGAGGTTAAAATCATTTGGTAAAAATTACACTGAGATTATCCCCTCTAAATTTAAATCTACTTGCTTAACTCATTTAATAAACATACTTCAGACTTGAGAAAAGCACATGTTTACCTGTATTAACAAACATCCTGAATGTTAACAGACACTGCTTGAGGGCTAAAAGAAATAATTATGGTTTTAAAGGCCAGCAGGTAATGGCTCTGAAAACAAACATGTAAACTCATTTGGACTTTATTAATAATGTATTCCTGTTATCAAAGATCCTTAGATCAGCTCAAGATCCTTAACCTGATCACATCCACAGAGTTCTTTTTGCGTGTAAGACAAGGTATTTATAGGTTTGGGGGATTAGGATGTGGGCATTATTCAACGCTTCAGCCTACCACCTGTGATAGCTTACTGTGTAACACATGAAACTGTTGGTAATGATTGGTATTTTCTTTGACATTCCTAGGAAGTCATGAGTAGGAACAAAGTGAACGGTGTCTGAAACGTGAGCACAATTTCCTTACAGGTGAAGGAATAACGAATCTCAAAATGTGGTTTAATGACATACAATTCTTTAAACTGGTGACACTTACTACTGTTTTAGGACTGCAATGTTTATATTTAATCATTACAGTGTCTGCAAATGCTCCATGAAATATTTAGTTGAGATATGATCTTCAAATTGTGTTTGTTGTGGAACTTCTTTCATTTTTGAACTTACACAGTAATATCCTAAAGTTTTTTACCTTTTTCATAATTAAGAAGTGGCCAACTTGGACTTAAATGACTTTTTCTTACTACATCTGTTGCTCTTTTCTTGTATGTGGTTCAAAAAAGCCTCTTTTTCGGAAACATAGAGTAGACTCTGGAACATATGTTATTTCAATGTTAGAGTTAAACAGAAATAGCTACATAGAAGTAAACTTGGGGTAAATAGTTTCTTTGTAAGTTTAATGCTTCCTTACAATCACCCAATTCTTAGTGCTTTTTGATTTCAATTTTTAAGTGTTACAAATTTTAAACTTTAAAAAGAAGCTGAAACAATACCCAAAGAAAATTTCAAATTTCAAGTTAAAAGAAGTTTCCAAAATAGAAGCACTACTTTTTATAATCATTCTCTGTTCTGCTCTATAAAGTATGAAATAATAGATTCCCCGTGTGACTGGCCCACAGAAGAACACGTTACTCCTGTGATTTGCTGCAATGGTATTTGCACAACATGCTGCTAGGTGAGAAGCATATAGTTTAATGGATGGCCTGATACACCATCATTGCTAATAGCTTCGATTTTGACACCAGAGTGAAAGAGAGCCTATAGACCCAGAAATTTGGTGAACTTCCGTGCTTCTCTTCATGTTCGTACTTTTGATTTTTGACCCTTAAACTTTAATTTACACACATTAGAAATATTTATTTTTTCTAACTTTTTGATTAAATCTGATGTTGAAGTTGAACCAGATAACATTTAAAAGCCATGTCATAAAAGAGAAAAGAAGATTTCATTTTCTAGAGTGTGACTAGGAGAATGCTTAGACGTCCATGTCCTGGGAAAATGATGAAAACATAGATCTAACCTTAAATGACCACATATGCACTTGCCATATTCTCACTTTCAATGAAGAAATAAATGATTTCCCTTATTTCATAAATGGGATGGGTTCATTAATAACTTCTAGAACATGCTGCTTCAAAGTTTTAGGCAAGAAATGTAGTGGAATTCAAGCCCCAAATAGTTATCAGACTCCAATCTTTTAGACACAAAGTTCAATTTTTAAAATTATCACAGAGAACTACATTATAGAATATACATAGTTTTGTATCATCTTAGAAATGCAGTCTAAGAGGGGAGGAGGGTGGGAAGGGATAGACTGGGATTTCAAAATTGTAGAATAGATAAACAAGATTACACTGTATATAGCACAGGGAAATATACACAAAATGTTATGATAACTCACAGAGAAAAAATGTGACAATGAGTGTGTATATGTCCATGAATGACTGAAAAATTGTGAACACTGGAACTTGACACAACATTGTAAAATGATTATAAATCAATAAAAAATGTTAAAAAAAAAGAAATGCAGTCTAAACTTGTGCTTTAATGTTTTTACTAATTAGATAATCAAGGCTCCTAATAATCTTAAAATAATATAATAAATAATTAACATTCAATGCTATATAGCCTCCATCTCTTTTTTCACCTGGGCTGGTGTCTCTGCTTTTGTTGTGTTTTCAAGCCATGAATATTTCATAAGTATTAAGGGATCACTTCTAACTTGGACACGTTAAGGTTATGAGAGAAATTATGTGCTCTGTCTCATGGAATTAAGACCAAAATTTTACATAAATAAACCAACTGGAGAGCAATACAAGATAAATTTGACAATAAAACAGTAACTAATATTTATTGATATATTTATGTCATTCAAAATTGACATGCTTCACAGAGGCTGTATCATAAAATATTCAAAAATTATACTGGACTTTCAATTCCAAACAGTCCTCAGCTTTACTGTCGGATGCACCACGGCCCAAGCTGTATTGCCTTGGCAGGTCACTTATTTTCTCATGTATTAAAAACATAAAATATTAGTCATCTATACTCTAGGTTATCAATGAGATATAAATTTAATGAAGACTTGTCTAAGCAGCAAGGTAGATGCAATTTATTAATCAGCTAATCGTTTTGTAAGCACATGCTACATGTCAGGCGTTATGTTAGTTCCTGAGGAAACCCAGGTACAACCGTGCATGATTATTTTGCTGTCAAGGAATTTGGGGATAGAAAGATATAAGTAAATCAAGAATTAAACTGCACAGGGTGTATTCAGGTGCTGCAGGAGCACAGATGAGGTGTGCCACTGTTCAGATGGCTGGTCAGGGAATACTTAAAGAAGCAATGTTACCGAGTCCAAACTCATTCTGCTGGCCACACAACAGGCCAATAAATTGGGAGACAAGGTGTTGGGGCAAGGAATAGCAACTTTACTCGGAAAGCCAGCAGACCGAGGAGATGGCAGACTACTATTTTGGAGAGCCATCCTGCTCCAGTCAGAATACAGGCTTCTTTTATCCAAAAAAAAAACCAGGGGAGGGAGTGTGGTTCATTGTTGCAAACTTCTTGCTATAGAAAGTCTTTGTTCTTGCAGCATCGGTGTGGGCCAGGCCATGGTGTCCCTGTAAACCTCCAACAAAACAAAGGTTATTCTCTATCTTGCAACTCACCATCTCTACCTAAGTGCAGAAGAGCTAACATCCTGAAACTTGAGAGCCCCTAGAACAGACTCTCCTGTCTATTTCAAGCTAAAGGCAACACTGTTTCACAAAAGGTGCAGCACTGGCAAGACTGAGCCTAGAAAACAGGGCACAGTGGTCAAAACTAAAGGAACAGATCCGATATAGAGTCAGATTTGTTCTCCTTTATTACACTTAGACAAATCATAAAGATTTTTTAAATGCCTTGGGGTTTTCTTCATGCATTCTCATTCCCTCCTACCATATTGAATCCTCCTAAAATTGTAGTTGACCATGCCCCCAAAAGAATAATGTGCTATCCAAGAGCGAAGTATTTGTGCAGATGGTCAGCTTCTCATAAAGGTTACCTCTGACAATATGTCTTATGAAAAAGGGTAGAGAATACACACAGACGGCTGAGAAAGAAAATGTCTGCTTGTGAAGAAGGAAAATACAAGATTTTATTAAATTATTCAAGATTATCCATGGAATATTACAGACATCATAAACACTTCACAAACTTCAGTCAACCACATTACATGTGAAGATGAATAACATTTGAAACAAGACAATCAAACAATTGACTATGTAATCACATTATCAAAGTACAATGTGAGAAATAC